AATTTTGTGTGTCGGTCTGGCGAGGAAAAGAGTTAGATATCTTGCCTTTTCTCGACGTATTGAGGTCCTTTGTTCCCTTCTCTCTCTCTCGCTCTCTCTCTCTCTCTCTCTCTCTCTCTCTCTCTCTCTCTCTCTCTCTCTCTCTCTCTCTCTCCTCTCTCTCTCTCTCTCTCTCTCTCTCTCTCTCTTCTCTCTCTCTCTCTCTCTCTCTCTCTCTCTATATATATAATATATATATATATTATATATATATATATATATATATATATATATATTGCCATCAATATTTTTCTTTTTGTTTATTTTTTTTATGTTCCTTTTTTAGTGTTATGATTTCTTGACGTGCCTCCGTGATGGAAAAGAAATTTGTGTGTCTTCTTGCTCTCTCTCTCAAACTTCTCTTCCTTCTCTACCCCTCTGCTTTCTTTCTCTTACCTCCTTCCTCTCTTCCTATTTCACCCTATCATTTCTCCTCCTCGAAACCCTGCGTTTAATCCCCCCTCTCTCTTATACATCCATCTCTATCCATCCCTCTCTCCCTTCTTCTCCTCCGGTCTCTCTCCCTTGCTCTTCGTCCTATACTTCCTCTCCTTTCTTAATTCCTTCAATCCCCACCTCTTTTTCTACTTCTCTCACCTATTCTTTATTTCTTCCCCTCCTTTTCCTTCACATCCCCTGTCTCTCCTCCTTCTTATCCCCTTCCTACCCCTCCCCCCTCTCTCCCTCCCCTCTTAAACTTCTACCCTCTCCCTTTCCTCTCTCCCTCCCCTTCTCAAATCCCTGCCTCCTCTCCCCTTCCTCACTCTCCTCTCCTTCTCAAATCCCTACTCCTTCTCCCCTTCCTCTCTCCCTCTCCTTCTCAAATCCCTGCCTCCTTCTCCCCCTTTCCTCTCTCCCTCTCCTTCTCCCCCCTTCTCTTCTTCCCCCCTCCTTCTCAAATCCCTGCCTCTCCTCCTTCCTCTCTCTCTCTCCTTCTCAAATCCCTGCCTCCTTCTCCCCCTTCCTCTCTCCTCTCCTTCTCAATCCCTGCCTCCTTCTCCCCCTTTCCTCTCCCTCTCATTCTCAAATCCCTGCCTCCTTCTCCCCCTTCCTCACTCTCCCTTTCCTCTCTCTCTCTCCTTCTCAAATCCCTGCCTCCTTCTCCCCCTTCCTCACTCTCCCCCTCCTCAAGCTCTCCCTTCTCAATCCCTCCCTCCTTCTCCCCCTTCCTCCTCTTTCCTCTTCTCCCTCCTTCTCAAATCCCTACCTCCTTCTCAAATCCCTACCTCCTTCTCCCTTTCCTCTCTCCCTCTCCTTCTCAAATCCCTGCCTCCTTCTCCCCCTTTCCTCTCTCCCTCTCCTTCTCAAATCCCTGCCTCCTTCTCCCCCTTCCTCTCTCTCTCTCTCTCTCTCCCTTTCTTACCATCCACGAGTCTACAAATGTGTCCATGGAGTCCTCGATAGTTCCCGAGCGGCTTGTGAAGTCATCGTCTCGCGTGCCGGTGTTGGTTCCACAGATGCCGTAGTGGCCCGTGAGGTCCGGATGCAGCCACAGGAACACGTGGTTTTTCGAGACTTCCAACTGGAAAGAAGACGCCACCAAGGGGATTTATGTGGGGGAAGATGGCATTCCCAGGGGCGACTTTGCAAGGGTGGGTATCATACGAGCAATCTCGTTTGTATTACTATTGTTACTGGTATCGATGTTTTTTGGGTTTATCATTATGATTATTATTATCATTATCACTACTACTACTGCTACTACTATTACCACTGTTGTTATCATTAGCATTATTATCATTATCATTATTACTATCATCATTGTTATTATTATTATCATTATAATTATTACTATTAATATCATAATTATTATCACTATCGCTACCCTCGTCATCATTACCATCAATCTCACCGTCATCATCAAATCGTCCTTATCCTCATCAATATAGTAATATAAGTAGCTTTGAAGTGAAACCAGCAGTACCGTCACCACCATTTTCATAATCATCACGATACCACACAGACGAAAAAGACGAAAGTGCCCCACCACATCTCATTCTCCATCCAATCCCTCTATCCTACATCTCATCCATCCCATCTCATCCCTTATCCTACATCCATCCCTCATCTACATCTTCCCTCTATCCTACATCTCCTCCCTTTATCCTACATCTCCTCCCTCTATCCTACATCTCCTCCTCCTATCTCATCCCTCTATCCTATCTCATCCCCTCTATCCTACATCATCCCTCTATCCTACATCTCATCCTCTACATCTCCTCCCTCCTTCCTATACATCTCCTCTATCCTACATCTCATCCCTCTTATCCTACATCTCCCTCTATCCTCCATTCTCTCCTCTATCCTACATCTCCTCCCCTATCTCCATCTACATCTCCTCCCTCTATCCTATCTCATCCCTCTATCCTATCTCATCTATCCACATCTATCCCTCTCCTCCCTCTATCCTACATCTCATCCCTCTATCCTCATCCTCCCTCTATCCTCATCTCATCCTTAT